GATGTGAAATGAATTCTCCACAAAGAATATGTTCCTCCTGGTCAAACTGTTAACCAGGTTTTTTACTTGGAAGTCCTGAAGCATTTGCGAGACAAGGTGAGACGAAAAGCGCCCTGACCTGTGGCAAAGTGGTGGGTGGTGGTTTCATCACGACAATGCACCAGCGCACACCGCCTTGAGTGTGAGACAGTTTCTGACCAAGAATGGCATGAACCCACTTCCCCACATTCACCCGATCTCGCCCCCTGCGACTTTTCTTGTTCCCCCAAATGAAGAAAGTCCTCAAAAGAAAAACGTTTTGCAGATGCGGAAGAGGTTAAGAAGGAAACGACGGAGTCATTAAAAGATATAAATTCACAAGAGTTCCAGGACGGCTTTGAACAATGGAAAACACATCTGGATCGGGTGCATTGCTTCAAATGGAGAATACTTTGAAGGTGATTAGAATATAAACATACAACAATAAATGAATAAAATTATATGACACAATTCCGGTTACTTTTGGGTCCCCCCACCTCGTAGTTTATCGTCATACCCAAGACGGCGTCAGGCCCGGTGTTTTTAGTCTAGGAAGACGATCGCCTGACAGTGTCGTATCATCACTACACTGAGTTTATCTCTTCTTTCTTACATGGTCGTTGACCCATAACCAAAAGTTATGACCAAAAGAAATAAGTATGCCTTAAACAAAACAAAAATTGCACTTTAAAGTGCATCAATTGAAAAAAATGGTTTAAGTTTAATAAGAAAAATGCATCATAATTCATATATCTTTTTTTATAAAATAAATATTTTTGCTTCTTTAATTCTTAAATGTTAGTATTTATATATGAAATTATTAATTAGGATAATTTTCAAGGAATTCTAGAAAAATATTTTTAAATATAAGCATAGTTCTGTAATATAGTGTAGTTTCAGCTTCAGCTTCAATATGCTAATTATTTTGAAATGCTTCATTAGAATTCTACTTTACGAGGTTAAAGTTCATTGCATGATTAATCTACAATTCAATTATCCATCTATATTATAAATGTGAATGTCATTGTGTCACTGTGTCACTGTTTTTCAACTTTCCTACTAGAGTCCCTAGCCAAACATATCATATCATTTTGGAATCAGGTCGACTGCGAGAAAATCAAAAACATTCCTAACCGAATCCGGACCCGTAATCTTGAAATTAAAAATAATTGTACGGAAAGTAAGGACCTACGTACATCAGATTGTCTTTAAATTAAGTGTCGAAATTTTAAAAGGTAAGATCAAATATTAATGCAATACAGCGATCAATTTTGAGTTGTTCTGTAGTAAATTGTTACTTATCGCATTTATTCTTTCCTACCTTTGATGATAACCCAATCAAGAGCCCTCGGCAGGAGCAAGCTTAAATGCCACCCGGTAGGGGGCTTTTAAGCTATTGTTAAACAATTACAAATAAAAGATGTTATTGACTCTACGAGAGTGGTTTTTAGTTTACTTCTTACAACATTTAATGTCTACCAATAAAAACACATTATAAATAATTCTAGATCATATGGCTCAAAACTTACAACAGAGGGGGAACTATATATATATATATATATATATATATATATATATATATATATATATACCGGGTTGGTTGTTTTCTGGTTACTGCATTTTGACTGCTAGTTAGGAGCCCGAACTTTTGGGTATTGTCTAGAGAGGTTACTCTGATCAACAATCGCATAATATCACGGTTTTTGTCGCGCATGTAGAGGTATCCCTGCGAGAACATCGGGTGGGAAGGCCCGAGCCAGCACTACCCTGCAGTCTGTGCCAAATCCCGTCCAGCACATATTACTTTAGATGACGAGCTGCTTCTATTATTTTCGTCTTTTCAGCTTCAAAAGTGAATGTAACTAAAATCCACAAACGAATCACAATTAAACAAGACTGCGCCCCCCGAAAAAAAAAATTCAACCCCCTAACCTTGCTTTGTCCAACATTTGTGGTATTCGTACCAATTTTAGCAGAATGGAATTGTTTCTCTTGGAACGCTCTCTGGGCATCCTAGCTCTTTGTGAATCTCATTTCTATCTCCACTGATTTCTCTGATCTATTTTTCGGAAAAAATTCTAATGTCTACATATATGGCTTTGGTGTATATGTTCAGGAACACCTCCAATTGACAAAGGAACTTTGCGTTATGTCTCCGAACTATTCTTTTAAGTGCATCCGTCTTTCTCTATTAAAGTCAGTCAGCTCCCTCTTTTTCATCTATCGTTTCCCTTAATCTTATGGCTTGCAAGTTTGACAGAATCTCTGTAGAGATAATCCCCTCCTTCTAAACCCTTCCGCAAATATCTCTGTGTTTGTTGATTTCAATGCTCAATACGTCAGTCACTGACTAATGTCACTGACTTTTCTGGCATCCAGACCTTGAAATTCTCTATTAAAAAAATCTCTCACACAAATAGTTAACTTCCCCAAACGTGTCTCCAGTAATTCTGACAGACACCCTTCTTTTCTTGATTTCTTCTTTACCGCCACCCGAACTCCTGCCGCGCGCTGCAGCTCTGACCTCTTATCACTTCCGGTCATGAGGTAATATCTACAGATATCTCTCTGCAATATCTCACCAGTAAAGGACCTCCCATTAACAGAATTTATTTCTGATATCAACGCGCTCGTTTCGTGGTTTCTTTCGAGATGTCTGCTGGAAGGAGATTTTTAATCATCCTGCTCAAAAATGTGCGACCAAGATCTCATGCATGTGATGGGGTTCTCCTTTATAACGTCGACATTGTTGGCGACGAACTCGGAGTTCCTGGCGGCTCTAGATCGCTTCTTATGAATCTTGCTTTCTGGCCTGGATGAAAGCTATCATCGAAGCTTTCGTTCCAGCTCGGAAATACCAAGTGAAACCGTCATCATCTCCTTAGTTCTCACTTAGCTACTCAGTCGCTAAAGCCCACAGGAATCACTTCTTTTAGCTGTAACAGAGAAACAGGTCTGATTTTAACAGATGTCTCATTGTCACTGCCCGTAATGAATGCAAGTGCTTCCTCAAAGAAACAGTCACTATTTGCTGATAGAATGAACCAGTGTATATCTTCTCACAAGTTTGGTTCTAGGGATTAATGTCGGCACTGCAAGTTTGTGCCGAACAATAGCAAATCCTCAGCCCCGTCTCTCGTAAATCAAGTATTGACATCTACTGCGCATAAGGTAGAATGGTTTGCTCGGAAGGTTTGTTCCAACTCCACTCTCCGTTCAAATGGAGTATCTCTGTCAGATTTTCTTCCTAGAACGAAGTCTACACTGAGTGATATACGCGTAACACCGTTATTGGCTTCTGGTATCATCTCAAAATTATACTCCCAACAAGGCAAGTGGATGCGAGGGGATCCCTGACGTCGTCCTAAATAAATGTTCTCCTGAGTTGGCTCCTGCTCTCTAGACTTTACAACAAATTCCTCGTTGATTCCTGCTTTCCAGTTCTTCGGAGTTCTTGTTTTGGAACAAACTCTGACTCAAATCATCGCCCTATTAGTCACCTTTTTTCTACAAAGTATTCGAGACCCTAATCAATGGCAGACTGGTTAATCATCCTACTTCCCACGATCTTCTTTCGGATAAACAATATGGCTCCCATTACGCCAGGTTTACCGCCGACGTGTTAACGGCTATGTCTGATGTTATCTATCAAGCCTAAACTAAGAATAGCGTAGCTCGGTCGGTGGCTCTAAATATCTAAAAGGCGTTCGACAGGGTTTGACATGCTGACCTTCTACGCAAGCTCATGGGCTACGGTGTTACGGGAGGTATATTTAGATTAATCCAATCGTTCCAAACCAGTCTACACATGAATGTCGTATTGAATTGATATGCATGTCATTTCATACCAACTCAGGTGTTCCCTAGGTCACTATACTTAGACTTACGCTGTTTCTGATCGTCAATGATTTTCCTGGTGTCATCAGTTCCCAACTAGGTTTTTATGCAGATGACATTACCATATGCTCCTGTCTTAGTAGAAAGTCCGACATATCCGACAATTTAAAGATGGCCACTACTCTTGAAAAGTACCTCCAATGGTTAACTGAGGAAAGAAATGGCATGTAAATTTCAACACCGCCAAAACAAAATATCTTTCATTTAATCAGCAGAAAGAATATTTTCTACCAATCATCAGGATGACTGGTGCTGGAAACCAGGAGAACAAAACTCTACGCTTTATTGGCCGCATATTTGCTACTGACATGAAGTTAGGCGACTATATCGAGTCAATTTCTACGTCTGCTAGAAGGAAGATGGTCACAGTGTCACGCCAAAATGTTTCTCAACAAAATACATCGTTCACATTTGTAAAATTAACAAATATATCCGAGTATTGAATATTATTGCTGTATCTAGTTGGGTGCTCCTACTGTGTTTCTCGAGATTCTTGACAAAATCAAGAAAAGGTTCTGCAATGCAATCGGTCCTGACGAGGTATCTTCAGTTACTTTCTCATCGACATGACGTGGCTTCACTCTGCATGTTTTACAAATATTTTCATTGTAACGGCTTCATATTTCCCAGTCAGATTTGATCTTCAACAATTTAAATGCAATGCCAGCAGCTATCTTCTGTCTTAATTCTTGTTATTTTATTGTTCTCTCTCCTTAATTGTATTTCTCTCATATTCCCTAATACCGACTAACTCTTTGCATCTTAGTGGTACTATTGCCTTGCATTGGTTGAGCTGATTTACGAAAAATAATGTCTCTTTCCCGTTGCCACATTGAAATTTAGTTGCCAATGCTAGGAATAATCTTTGAAACTTGGTTTGTGAAATGGGTGCGCCAGACGAGGGCCTGGCGTTGGTCGTAGTCAGTGTCTGGAAGTGGCAAAAATTGAAAGCCACCAGACACAGAAATAGAGAAAAGAGTAAGGTGAAGAGTCGAAAGAAGAAAAAAAAACAACAATCATATGGCTCGCTGTAACGAAGATTGACATCACTTCGGAGTCGTTAATGTTTTTTTTTTTGTTTTTACGTTTTTTTTCCCTTCCGGCCAGAGAACATTCAGTCGAGAGATCTCAGCGCTTACGAAAAGTGACGAAGTGAACAGTTCAGGCAGAATAATTTCAGGACATATTGCAAAAAGGTAGTGAAAAGAAAGCGTGAGAAAGAAAGAAGCCAAGGAAAAACAGTGGGAAAGAGAGAGAGAGAAGGTGAGTGAAAAAAAAACAGTGGGAAAAAGAGGGAGAAGCCGAGGAAAAAACAGTGGGAAAGAGAGGGACAAAATGATTGGAAAACAGTAGAAAAGAGAGGGAGAAGCCGAAGGATAAAAAAAGGGGAAGAGAGGGAGAAGGTGTGAAAAACGATGGGGAATAGAGTGAGAAGTTGAGTGAAAAAACAGTGAGAAAAAGAGGAGAAGGTGAGTTAAAAACAGCGAGAAAGAGAGGGAGAAGGCAAGGAAAAATAGTGGAAAAGAGAGGGGGAGGTGAGTGAAAACAGTGAGAAAGAGAGGGAGAAGGCAAGGAAAACAGTGGGAAAGAGAGGGAGAAGGTGAGTGAAAAACAGTGGGAAAGAGAGAGAGAAGGTGAGTGAAAACAGGGGGAAAGAGGGGGAGAAGGCAAGGAAAAATAGTGGAAAAGAGAGAGAGAAGGTGAGTGAAAAACTGGGAAAGAGAGGGAAAAGGCAAGGAAAAATAGTGGAAAAGAGAGGGAGAAGGTGAGTGAAAAACAGTGAGAAAGAGAGGGAGAAGGCAAGGAAAACAGTGGGAAAGAGAGAGAGAGAAGGTGAGTGAAAACAGTGGGAAAGAGAGGGACAAGATGAGTGGAAAACAGTGGGAGAGAGAGAGAGAGAAGATGAGTGAAAACAGTACGAAAGAGAGGGAGAAGCCGAAGGATAAAAAGTGTGGGAAAAAGAGGGAGAAGATGAAAAAAAAAAACATGGGGAAGAGAGGGAGAGACCGAATGAAAAAGGGGAAGAACGGGAATGGAACAGAACTAAAGAATTAGAGAAAAAAGCTAGAAAAAGTGAGAAAAAAAAAAGACAGAAAGACAAAGAGAGAGAGAGAAAAAAAGTAAAAAAAGTAAAGAAAGATGGGCAGTCGTGCATATAGATTTCAGGAAAACGATTGATATATTGTTTACTTATGTTTATTTGTCTCCGAACACGGGAAAAAAAATTGACCCATATTTTTTCATGCTGGATGCTTTCAGGCATTTCCCAGCTTAATCGACTTTCGCCACAGACATTACAAGATACCCCTTTTATTACAACTGAGAAGTTTTTTTTTAAAAACATCTCTTCACGGGTGAGAAATGTGACCCGTGTTCAATATTAAACGTCTAGACCAGTGAATTTCAACCGTTGGCACACTGGAGGATCGTAAGTGTGAGAGTATTTTTAATTTAATTAAATTAAATCGAAATTATTTCCAACGCACATTAAATGTGCATATCAAAATTAAAATCCCTTTAAAGTAATTATACGATTAATTACAATTATAATTAATTATTCGATTACGAGTTGCGATGAATAAATTGTCGTCTAAATTATAATTAAATTTTAATTATAATTGATTATCCGATTAATTACAATTATAATTAATTATTCGATTACGAGTTGCGATGGATAAATTGTCGTCTAAATTATAATTAAATTTTAATTATAATTGATTATACGATTAATTACAATTATAATTAATTATTCGATTACGAGTTGCGATGGATAAATTGTCGTCTGAATTATGATTAAATTATAATTATAATTGATTATACAATTAATTATAATTATAATTGATTATACGATTAATTATAATTATAATTGATTATACAAGTAAGCGGTGCGATGGATAAATTGTCGTCTAAGTTATGCAAAGATGAAAATGACCCTGACATCTCATTTTAACAGATATATTTACCAAAATTACACAAAACTATCTTGATATACCAAAGTAAATTGATTCAATAAAATCGCCATTGGCTTCAACCACGGCCTCCAGACAACTTCAGAATCTCCTGCATATCTTCTGGGCAGTCTCCTTGTTTAATTTGGTGAATGCTGCCATAATACTTGCCTTCAGTTCATCTTTGGTCTTACAAGAAGATTTGTTGATCTCTCACTCAACTCTGACCCATACATAAAAAACCAAAAGGGTTTGGAGTCTCGGGACTTAGGTGGCTATATGTATGTGGTTATGTGGTCGCAGAAATTGTCTGACGGCTATGACTGGGTTCTTCTGCTTGTAACATGTTGTAGAGTCCTGTTGATTGACATAGCGTCATCCAGTAGCCATGCTCTTGTCCCAGGGCATTACTATCTCCTCAAGGAACTTAATGTAGGCCTCCGTGTTGAGTCTGAGGCCCTGTGGGAAGATGAATTAAGGCATAACGTCACCATCACTAGTGATCACTCTAAACACCATGATGTTGACTGGATATATTATCCAACTCTTTTTGAATGCTCTGCACTCAGATTGACATCAAAACACTCTGAAATGTTCGTATTGGGAGTTCCGGTGCGAATGCCAAGAAGTACAGCCGTTTCCAAATTTCTGGCGGAGTGAATTGCATCATGGTGCTCTTTTTCTCATACACGGTGTTCAACTGACCCTACTGTGCTCATCACATTTAATTAATGATACCGGTATTTTAAAATACGAAAGACGAAGAAGCCAATTTAACAGCGACTGTGTCGTAGTATTTACCGTTGTTGGTTATGAAGGTTTCCTGACTGTATGAAATCTTCCTGCGGCTATCGGCTTGTCAAGAGGCTGAACTTCCGATCGATCCACCACCGCTGGCCGATGGCAGTATGGTCGCTTGTCTAAAGAATTATGTCGCTCTCATTAAATTCGGCTTCTAATTAGAGAAGTAGGAGACGTCATCGTCTTTGACGAATTGCTAAACTGTTTCGCCAATTCATTTGAAGATTTTGTGAAACAACGAACGCAAATCTTCGTATTCTCTTGTCACCATTCCAGGGTAGTTATTTTGTCTCACCACCGATTATTTATGTATTTACCAGCATAAAAGTCGCCCTCCGTGTGGACGTTTAAGCTGGTTTATCCGACTCAAAACTAAAGGGACCTCTGATCCAGCTTAGAAAACAGCAATGGTAATTTTGAAGAAAAAAAAAAACTGAATTCCTCATTTCACTACATGGAACTTCAAACCTCACTTTAACTGATTCGGATTATGAGTCCAATTCCGGCCGAAATTCTAATTGAGGCCCAAAACTGAGTTCTTCAAATCGCAAACTATCTGGAGCTTCAACTGAGTTGAGTTCTTCAAATCACATTGCGGAATTTGAAAACCTCACATCACGAAACCTTTCAATTTAACGCTTATTCTTTGGCATTTTGAAAAAATAAAATTGATTTCCTCAATTCACAAATTATTGGAGATATTTTAAATTCAATATCGAACAAAAAAAAATTAAATTCACAATTCTTGTGTTACTTTAAACTCAATATAAATTAAAAACTTTTAAAATCACTTGTTGCGGACTTCACCACATTTAATTTCACTTTGATAAGAAAACAGGACTTACTCAAGAAGAATAACCACAAGACATTGTTGCATATACAGTATATGTATATTAACAAGATGTACAATATCAAACAACGATGTGAAAGAAAACATGCATTTAAGTAAGAAAGGTTAAATTAATCAAGAGTTGTCTCCCTTTGATTAAAATTTAAGATTTCAGTGAGAGATAATTATTTGGTTTAAAGTTCACTGGATAAATGTTCATGAGTATTTCATGATATGATTGTTCTTTTGATATTACTGTTGAAAAGTATTGTTGTGTCAAAAGAAGTTTTTAGTGAAGGTGTACAAATTATCATCAGTATGTGGGTGTGCGTTTGAGTGAGAAAGTTGGCGCGTGGTTAGAACTGCAGTTCCAACTGTCATAGATTCGTTTAGCAGTTGAGGTCTCACTAATTGACATGATCCAAATCTTGGCTTAAACAAGCGACTATAGGCTCCGGTTCGTTGCGCGGGGAAAATTATTCTTCACGTGCAAATGATCTGATTGGTTGGCATTAATCAATCAGCGAGCGAGCTTTGGGGAGACTTAAGTAAATTTGACCAATTAAAAAATAAAGCGATTCCAAAATTGTCGCATTACTGCGATTTGTAAATTTTCTGTAAAAAATGTATTACTGATTTATTAGCCAATGATCGTTTGGCATTGTACATGTGATTTTGTGTTTGTATATATATATATTCGTGCGTCAGTAGGTTCGCACACACTATTTTTTTCAGTTTTAATTTTTAACTATTCGCTCCTCACTCGGACACAAATCCCAATGCTGGACGTTCAAGCACCAGATTAATGGAAGATTTTCAATCCCGGTAGGATCCTGATTACAAAAAGTTTAATATGTCCACGTGGAGCAGTTGTGGCCCAAGTTAGAGGAGTTTCAGACACACAGACATACAGAACTTTCCATTTCCCTAATAAGTCTGAGCAACATGATACTTTGCTTGTTTTGTCCCTTATGTCCTCTCCTTACTCTTGTCGATTGTGGCACCATGCATACCTGACGAGCTGAGAGAAATATTCATAGATATATGATTTGTTTTTTACGGTTTATCAACCATTTAATAATTATTTAAGGCCAAAAAATATTTTGGGTTTTAAGAATAATTCTTTCTTTACATTCAAGCGATCTGGGAGAAAGAAAGAGAAAACGAAGAAGAAAGAAAGAAAAAAATAATACGAAAACAGGTCATAGGCGAGCACACACACGCACGGCTGACAGATAACAGGTGTCGAAAAATATTCAGGTCAAGCATCTGACCGATTTCCGCGGATCCGCGAAAAAATGGAAGTGTATCTAAGGATATGAAGACAAACCATTAATACGAAAACATAGACAGTCTTCAGAATTAGAAAAAGCCCCCACAAGGTAGTCACTGGCAAATTTTTTTGAGATAATAAAGATTTTTATTATCAGACCTTCGAGCGGAGGGAAAATGAAATATTTTTATTCCGTTTCAGAAACGCCAACGAGTCTGAGAAATTCCTTTCTTAGATCATATCCAATTAGCGATAAACTGCTTGACAAATACCACGTGTTAAAAAGCCGAGAGTGTCACCTCAGTCGCTCATGATAAGGGCGATTTAAATTAATATTTTTGTTTTTTAAGCAAGGTATTTCTTTCCCAAAACAAAGCCACGGATTGTCCACGCCCGACTAGGACGTCATTGGCTAAATAAGATCACATGACACACGAAGGAGGAGGAAAGATACCCAAACAGGACCTCATTGGCCGAGAGCGGTCACGTGACGCACGAGGAGAATCGGTCGACGCCCCTGTCAGAAGTGTAAGTGTAAGGAGCCGAGACGAAGAAGCGGGGAAGCGGGTACAAGCCCCTCAGAGGCACAGTAAGGGAGTGGGAGTGAGAGTGAGTTACCGAAAATGGAAAAGAATGAAAAATCCCTAACCAGAAATAAGAAGGGTGGATACGTATTTAGAATTATCGAAGAACCCCTGGTGCCGACAGACCCACCCCAGTTTTGACTGCGTCAATAAAAGAGAGACCCCAACCGACAGAAATCAGAGTTCAGCCGCGGACGGCAAGCGGAGTGGAACCGCGGACGGCGGCCCGAGTTCGGTCGCCCACTTTGCGGGCAAGAGAGGCCAGTTCGTTTGGCCTAAGTGAAGAAGTTTGTCCGACCCAAGCTGAAGAGAAGAAGTTAGTTCGCGCACCGACGGCGGAGATGAGTGACCAGTAATTCAGACTCTGGAGAGAAAGAGTTCAGTTTGTTCGACCCAAGCCGGAGAGAAGAAGTCAGATTGAGCCGCGGACCCTGGCGAGAAGTTTTGAACCTTGGACGACAAGCAGAGATGAGCGCCTAGTGTTGAAACCGCGTCAAGATAGCTGACCAAGATTCACGCACACTTCTGGACTCTTCTTCAACCAAGAACAAGTAGTTTGAAGAGCGACTTAGAATCAAGACCACAGAAATAAGTTTTTTCGACTTTCG